TAGATAGATAGATAGATAGATAGATAGATAGATAGATAGATAGATAGATGGATAATAGATAGATGGATAGATAGATAGAAAGATAGATAGATGGAACAGAGTGAGTTGAAGATGGAGGGGTGATATCTGGAAAATAAAATTAAGGGGTGAGAGAGGATTATACTGGGAGAAGGAGAAAGGAAGAAGTACAATGAGGTAAAATATCTTAAAACAGACAAGAAAAAGTTTTTACAGAGGAGGGGAAATGGGGGAAGGTGAGAGGAAATGAGTGAATCTTATTCTCATAGGATTTGGCTTAAGGAGGGAATAACATACACAATGGGGTATGGAAATCTATTTTACCCTACAGGAAAATAAGGAGGGAAGGGGACAAGAGAGCAGGGGTTGATAGAGGGGAGGGCAGATTGGGGGAGGGGATAATCAAAAGCAAACACTTCTGAAGAGGGACAGGGTCAAAGGAGAGAATAGAATGAATGGGGGGTGGGATAGGATGAAGGGAAATATACTTAGTTTTTCACAACAGTACTACTATGGAAGTGTTTTGCATGACTACACATCTATAACCTGTGTCAAGATGCTTGCCTTTTCAATGGGGGTGAGTGGGGACGAGGAATGGAGAGAATTTGTAACCCAAAGTTTTAAAAACACATGTTAAAAATAAAAAAATAAAATAAAAAAATAATTCTTAAAAAAAAAGAACAACTCGGAGTTTAAGATTGGGAAGGACTTAGAGGTCAAAAACTGAACCATTAGTAAATTCATTGGAGTGGGTAGAACATAAGCTCCCAGAGGACAAGGGTAGTTTTACTTTTGTTTTCTTAATCTCTAGCCCCTACTATAGCACCTTGCACTCAGCAGGCACTTACAAGATGCCTGTTAATTGATTGATTGATTCTTTCCCACTGACACCCATCAAAGTCCTTTTGAAACTCAATAAGTGGTCATTGAGAGAGAACAGGAAAAGTCAATCAATGTTGTTGCCAATTTGGTCATGAGCTTCTCTGAACCTGGCAAGACTTGTTTTCACATCAAAGACACTCCGAGAGTCTATCACCACACCCTTATCTGAAGCCATTACAGCTTGGTCAGGCCCAAGAATTCTGGTCTTCTGTTTCAAGGACCTCAGACAATAAAGGACTTCAAGTTGATAGCATATGCTGACTATTTTCAGAAGCCAAGGATATTTAGATTTCAAAAAGAAAAAAAAATTTGACATGATGGGTAAGACATCATAAGGGCTAATGACTGGGTTTAGATACCACCCTTGACCTCTATCGGGACCCAGTCTCTGAACCTTTTCTAAGATTAAGTTTCTGCATATGGAGTAACTATGTCAAAAGGGTGTGCTGAGAATTCCTTGGGATAACACATGCAAAGTTTTCTACAAATGTGCAAGGGCTATATCAGTCTTACCTGGGAGGCAGGAATATTTTACATAGAGACCCAGCATCAGCATCAGCATTATAAAGACCTGAGTTCATGTCTCACCCTGACCCATGCCAGCTGTATGACTCTTGCCAAAGCACGTAACTTTTGAAAATCCCAAGTAAGAGGTCTTCAGTGGGTTACTCCTGAATCTGTGCTTGGCCCTGGGCTGTCTAACACTTTATCAATGACTTGAATAAAGGCACAGATAGGGTACTTAACTGATTTTCAGTCAACACTAAGTTGGGAAGGGTAAGTGGGTGATGAAGGCAACCAAAAACCATTCGATGGGCTATGATTGGGCCAAATGCAACAAGGTGAAATTCAAAAGGGATAAATGTAAAGTCTCACACTAAAATAACAAATAATAACAACAACAACAATTCCACAACTACACTTGCTAAGACTAAAAGATCTGGCTTTTGGCAACTTGGTTTTCTTTTCTTTAAATTTAGATAATGGCATTTCATTATAATCAGTTTCCTTTATAACACTATTTTAAACCATGATTCTGAGGGAGTGTCCATTGGTTTCACCAGACTGACTACCAGAGGGGTGCAGGACACAAAAAGATGTAGCAATCTTTAGATAGGGGTTGAGTAGACTGCACCTAATATGAGCCAACAGGATAATATGTCAAGTTAAAAAAAATCACTGTTAGTGTTTGGAGAACTGCATTGAAAGGAATATTACTGGGATGTTGGCAACATAATATTAACACCCAGGATTGATCAATAAGGGAAATGATCGTCAGAGACTTAGGATGGTTTGTCTAAAGCCTTAAGATCAGAGTCAGAGTCATGGTCCACAGGTTCTTAACCTCTCGTGTGTGTGTGTGTGTGTGTGTGTGTGTGTGTGTGTGTTGTTGTTGTTGTCTCCCCACTGTTAGTGTGGTGAATCCTATGCCTTCCTTCTCAGAAGAAAGTTTTTAAATGCATAAAACAAAATATGTAGGCTTATAAAGGAAATCAAGTATATTAAAATGCAGTGATGAAAAATGTTTTTACTAAAATTGACTGTCCCAAGTTTAAGTACTTCTGATTCTACATTTTAAAGGGACCTCAGAGGCTGCCTATGCAATTCCTGCCAGTCTATTAATGAACATTTATTAAGTACTTTGTGCCAAGTACTATGCTAATGGGACTGGGTGTACAAAATAGTGGGGATACAAAAAAGCAAAAGACAGTCTCTCAAAGACTTCTCCTATCACTTTATAGATAATAATAATGATAATAATAAATAATTGACAGTTATATAATGCTTAATGTGTGCCAATCACTGTGGGAAGCACTTCACAATTATTATCACATGGCATCAGAATAAAAGCAGTTAAGTCAGAAGGTACCTCAGCAGCCATCTAATCCTGACCACATAAAATGTCAACAATGACACACCCCACACGTGATGAGCATATGACTTTCTCCAGGTCCCACAAGTCAGAAGGGAAATGTGAACCCAGGCCCTCTAAGCCCCAAACCAGACTTTCTTTCCATTGCAAGAGGTTGCTTCCCAAGTAGCCCCAGAGCAGGGACGGACAACCAGGCTTGTGGCTGCCCAATCCAGCACATTTCCCAGGGTCCCAGGGTCCCAGTTCCCATGCCCACTCACAGCCAGTGGATTCCTGCCCTCCCATCTCACTCCTTACCTTTTGAATAATTATTTGGGGGTTTTTAAAGTCCATCTGGAATAAGTTGCCCAATATGGGCAGCCCAGGAGGGCCAGGGGGGTAGTTGTGATGCTGCCTCCTCCTCTGCAGATACTGTGCCAGGATGAGGAAGGTGGCAGAGAAGAGAAGGAGGGTCTGCAGGGAGGCTCTTTCCCAAAGGGAAGGGAGTACAGTTCCCAGAGAGAGCTGCATCTTTCCCCAGCTCTGACACCAAGGCTAAACAAGCCATGCTCCTCCTCCCTCCTCTTCCTGCAGCAACAGCTGTGGCTCTGGGCCCACCCAGAGCAGGGTTCATGTAAGGGACAAAGCTCAAACTCTGTTTGTCCCCTTGGAGCTGCTGCCTGGTCTTGCTTTATCAACCAGCAGTGAGAGCTCCAGGAAGTGCTAACCTCCCCTCTGTGCCCCAGCCCTTGGCCCTCTGCCTTTGGCCAGGCCTGCTTTCTGGGAGTAAACATGCCCCTCCTACCATCCCTCCTCTCCCCTTAAAGAAATCTGGGCTTGTTTACTGGGAACCAAAGAGACAACTTGGCCAGAACAGCCTGGGAAAGACTCCACACGCAGACAGACCCACCCAGTGGGGCCCAAATCACAGGGCCAACCTTTTGAGACAAGAAGGGACCCAGAATGTCACCCTCTTTTTTAGGATAATATGCTGCCATGATTGCCTTTGATCTAAGAGAGAAGGCCAGATGACCATCCTTTTATTAACAATTGTGCTGGCTAAATTAATAAAATGATTAAATTACTCAGAAACTGTCTCTCATACTTTTTTTTTTTAACATCCACAGACCCTAAGTCCAGGGCTTGAAATGGCCAAGGTTATACAGGTAGTGATTTGCAGGGGGGAGATGTAAGGCCAGGTCCTCTGACTTGAACCCAGAGACTCTGACTCCAAACCCAGTGGTCTGTCCACTGCACCACCCTACTTCCAGATAAGAGCACCCCTTGAGATTGTGCTATAAGAGGAAGAACTGAAGGACATGGGGATGCTTGGCCTGTAGGAGAGTGTGAGTATTTAGGGAGAGAGGCCTGGACATGGAGCTGACTTCACTTCTTTGAACAGTTGCTAAGTGAAAGAAGCTTTGTCCTCTTTGGTGCAAAAAGGTAGAATTAGGAAAAATAGGTTATTTAGGCTTCACACAATAGGGGGAAACCCCAATTTACAACTAAAGCTGTCCAAAATCAAAAGGGATTGCTTCTCTGAAACTCACATTTCCTCAATAACCTTGCCCTGGGGGACCTCCCTCCGAGCTCTGACTGGAGAAGGTAGTGGGTGGACATTAAAGAGTTTCTCCTAGATCCTCCATTTAGGGAGAGAGCCCAGGACAGCCATCTTATCATTTCTCACCTGACTTCAGGACTTCATCTTAGTCCCTCTCCCTTGCCTCTCATCCCCCACTACAACTCTTTCTAATGGGCTTTCTTTCTCTGTTAGATAGTGAATCTTCTTCGTATCTGTATTTGCAGTACCTGGCACATAGCCTACTATGTAACTTAACAAAAGTTAATGTGCTGAATGCTTCTAAAAGTAAGGGGTTCCTTCTGATTTGCGTTCTTCAAGTAGAGACTGGATTACCATTGGGAAGCTAAGTTTTAGTGGGGAGTCTTTAATCAATTAATAAACATTTGTCATGTGCCTACTGTGCTAAGTCTTGGGGATACAAAAAGAGGCAAAGGACCATCCCAGCCCTCAGAGAGCTTATAGTCTAATATGGGAGAAAACATAGAAACAAATACATATAAAACAAGCTCTAAATATGATAAATAGGACATCATTAATGGAAGGAAGGCACTAGAATTAAGAAGGGTTGGAGAAAGCTTTCTATGGAAGATGGGATTGAGACTTAGGTGTGGCTAACTAGATCCCCTTGGAGATTGTATTAACTTGTGACTCCCTTGACTACAAGCCATCTGTTAATTAATCAATCCACAAGCATTTATCAATGGCTGACATTTCTATGATGCTTTAATGTTTGTAAAGTGCTTAACATATATTTTCTCATGTCATCCTCACAATAATCATAATAATCCTCACAATAATAATAATAATGCTATTACTATTCCTATTTTATAGATGAAGAAACTGTGCATTTACCCCTGTCTCACAATGATGACATGACTTTGCTCCTTATCCAGGCTGACCATTCTATTTCTTCAAGTGACCCAATTCCTTCCCTTCTCTCCTATGAGTGTCCCCACTGTGTCATTTATTCTCTCTCTCTCTCTCTCTCTCTCTCGCTCTTTCTTACTGTCTACAAGCATGCCATATATTTTCCATCCTCAACCAATCCTCATGATGCTTCTACCCCATTAACTATCATTCTATATCTCTTTTGCAATTTGTAGTTAACCTCAAAAAGGCCGTCTACAATAGGGGTTTCCACTTTGCTTCGTCTCACTCTCTTCATAATCATTTATAATTCAGCTTCCAACCTTTTCATTCCCTAAAAGCAGCCCCTTCCAAATAACTAATGGTCTCCTGGTGACCAAATTTTTTTCAATCCCTGAAAGGTTTTTTATTAAACTATTTAGTATTTTATTTTTCCCCATTTACATGTAAAAACAATTTTTAAAAATTGTAACTTGCAACTCTTGAGAACTGTATTGTTATTACACCATGTTAAAGGAGTATACATAAAGGGGGTGGATATAAGTTGACTTTGATGTAATGATAAAAAAAAATCTAATGAAGTGGATTAAAAGGATCCAAGTAAGTGGATTAGTCTGATCTAAGAAAATGTGCAAAGAAAGGAGGAGGCAGACAATGGTGAATTACATTACAGGAAAAGACACAAAAACCTATTACAGCAGAGGGAAAGAAGGGAGGGGGATGAGCATTGTTTGAACCTTACTCTCATCAGATTTGGCTCAAGAAGGGAATAACATAATCAGTTAGGTATAGAAGTCTAACTTGCCCTATAGGCAGTAGGAGGTAAAAGGGGAAAGAAAAAGGAGATAGGATAAAAGGGAGGAAAGAAGCAGTAAGGGTAAAGTGAAAGAAAAGGGAAGGGGATAATGGAAGGGAGGAGGGACTGATGGAGGTGGTGGTCAAAAGCAAATAACTAGTGAGGAGGGAAAAGGAGAAAGGACAAAGAAAAGCATAAATGGGGGGAAAGGATGGAGAGGAAGACAAAGATAGTAATCATAACTGTGAATGTGAATGGGATGAACTCTCCCATAAAAGGAAGCAGATAGCAGAATAGATTAAAAACCATAATCCTATAATATATTGTTTACAGGAAACCCATTTGAAAAAGAGTGACACATAAAGGGTAAAGGTAAAAGACAAGCTGAATAAATTATTCTTCAGCTGAAGTAAAAAAAAAAGTAGGGGTAGCAATCCTGATCTCAGACAAAGCAAAAGCAAAAACAGATCTTATCAAAAGAGATAAAGAGAGAAACTACATCCTGCTAAAAGGCAGCATAGACAATGATGTAATATCATTACTAAACATATATGCACCAAATGGTATAGCATCCAAATTCTTAGAGGAGAAGTTCAGGGAGTTACAGGAAGAAATAGACAGCAAAACTATACTAGTTCGGGACCTCAACCTCCCCTTCTCTGAACTAGATAAATCTAAGCACAAAATAAACAAGAAAGAAGTTAAGGAGGTGAATAGAACATTAGAAAAGTTAGATATGATAGACCTCTGGAGATAACTGAATGGAGATAGAAAGGAATATACTTTTTTCTCGGCGGTACATGACATATACACAAAAATTGACCATGTACTAGGGCATAAAAACCTCACAATCCAATGCAGAAAGGCAGAAATATTAAATGCATCCTTTTTAGATCATGATGCAGTAAAAATTATATGTAATAAGGGGTCATGGAAAGATAGACTAAAAAAAATTTGGAAACTAAGTAATGTAATCCTAAAAAATGATTGGGTTACACAACAAATCATAGAAACAATCATTTCATTCAAGAGAATGATAATAATGAGACAACATACCAAAACTTATGGGATGCAGTGAAAGCAGTTCTTAGGGAAAGTTTTATATCTCTAAATGCTTACACAAATCAAACAGAAAAAGAAGAGATCAATGAATTGGGCATACAACTAAAAGAAAAAACTAGAAAAAAGAACAAATTAAAAATCCTCAATTAGACACCAAATTAGAAATATTGAACTCCAAAGGAAAAAATCAATAAAATTGAAATTAAGAAAACTATTAAACTAATAAAGACAACTAAGAGCTGGTTTTATGAAAAAAAAACAATAAAATAGATAAACCTTTGGTTAATTTAATTAAAAAAAAGAAAGAAGAAAACCAAATTACTACTATCAAGAATGAAAAGGGTGAAGCTACCACCAAGGAAGAGGAAATTTAAACAATAATTAGGAACTATTTTGCCCAACTGTATGCCAACAAATTTGACAAACGTAGTGAAATGGATACATATTTAAAAACATATAAATTGTCCATGTTAACAGAAGAGGAAGTAAAATACTTAAATAACCCCATCTCAGAAAAAAAAGAAATTGAACAAGCCATTGATGAACTCCCTAGGAAAAAAACTCCAGGGCCAGATGGATTTACATGCGAATTCTATCAAACGTTTAAAGAACAATTAATTCCAATACTATGTAGACTATTTGGGAAAATAGGTGAAGAAGGAGTCTTACCAAATTCTTTTTATGATACAAATATGGTGCTGATACCTAAACCAGGAAGAGTCAAAACAGTGAAAGAAAATTATAGACCAATTTCTCTAATGAATATAGATGCAAAAATTTTAAATAAAATATTATCAAATTAATTACAGCAACTTATCACAAGAACAATACACTATGACCAGGTAGGATTTATACCAGTAAAGCAGGGCTGACTCAAAATTAGGGAAACTATTAGCATAACTGATCATATCAACAACAAAACTAACAGAAACCACATGATCATCTCAATAAATGCAGAAAAAGCTTTTGACAAATTACAATGCCCATTCATGTTAAAAACACTAGAGAGCACAGGATAAATGGAGTCTTCCTTAAAAAAATAAATAGCATCTGCCTAAAATCTTCAGCAAGCATCATATGTAATGGGGACAAGCTAAAAGCATTTCCAGTAAGATCTGGGGTGAAACAAGGATTTCCATTATCACCACTGTTGTTCAATATCATACTGGAAATGTTAGCTTTAGCAATAAGAAAAGAAAAAGAAATTGAAGGTATTAGAATAGGCAAAGAAGAAACAAAGATATCACTTTTTGCAGATGACATGATGATATACTTAGAGAATCCTAGAGAATCAAGTA